CTGATAAAGGGGAGGTTTGATATGGGCCTGTAGTTCTGGAGTAGTAGTTTGTCTAAACTTTTCTTTTTCAGCAGTGGTTTGATATTTGCTGTTTTTTTAGGAACCTGATTACTGTTAATCTCTTTCTTTTAAAGATGACTGAGTGTAGGCAAAAGGAAAATATTCCATTTGGCCTTTGTGAGCAATAACAGAATAGGGAACCTCTCCGTCTGCTTTAAAGATTGGAAACTCATGTGTCTCTGACGCGCACATGGCTTGCAGAAAGGATAATGTCCTCCAGACAGTGTGCGTGTTTTTTGCTGTCTGTGCATGTGGGGGTGTGTGTGTATGTTTATGCACTCATCCTTCTATTTGAGTGGAAACTTCCAAGCCCTATACTATGCTGTCGGCAAGGGTGTGAAATGTTGTCAATTCTTTTACTTGTCTGTGCATAACAAACAATTTGTTTCCTTGCAGCATGTTAAAGACATCATCCTGCAGTCCAACCCGCTCCTGGAGGCCTTTGGAAATGCCAAGACACTGAGAAACAACAACTCCAGTAGATTTGTAAGGCTCTCATTGTTCAGCTCTCTGAGTGGATAAAAACTAAATACACATTAAAACCGGATCTATGATACAAACAGTGGCTTTCAAAACCTCCTAGACATTTTTTGTCATGCATCCAATGGACTTATTAGACTACTCGTACTTGTCATCTTACTGGGTTGCAGTTCCAGCATTCTTAGCGAGAAGCCTAGACTTCTCGCTAAGAATGCTGGAATGCTTTTCTGACACGTCCTCCAGTTTCTCTAGAGGAAGTCTGAGAACATTCAGGGCCAGCTAAGAGACATAGTCCCTCCAGCATGTCTTGGACCATCCCGTGATCCTTCTCCTGGAAGGATGAGCCTGGAACTCCTCCAGGGCGGCATCCAAAACAGATGTCTGAGCCACCTCAGGTGAAAACTCAATTTGGAGGAGAAGTGGCTCTACTTCACGCCTCTCCTGGATGGCTGAGCTCCTCACCATATCTAAGGGTTTGCCCATTTACCCTGTAGAGGAACCTAGTTTTAGCTGCATGAAGCAGAACCATGTCATCCCCCAAAAGCATAGAAAGAATCTGAGGACCCCCAGGTTTTACCCTTTCCTGTGCATGAACCTGACTGGTGAAAGAGGGCAGCCCTACTTGAGTCCAACATGCACTGGAAAAAGGTATAACTTAATGCGGCCAAACCAAAACGGACTCCTGCTCCACTTGTGCAGAGATTGGATGCCCCTAATCAAATCTCGACTCTGGTTCACCCTCACATAGACCTTACCTGGCAAAAGGTAATATCCCCCTATAGCTGGAACACACCCTCCTGTCTCCCTTCCTGTGAAGAGGGGCCATCACCCCAGTCTACCAATTCAGGGGCACAATCCTGATTGCCAGGTATTGTTTAAGAGGCATGTCAACCATGACAGCCCACCAACATCCAGAGACCGGAGATGCTAAGTCAGATCTCCTTCATCCCCAAAGCCTTACCACCATGGAGTTTTTTTTTTTTTTTTTTATCTTGTTGACTTCTTAGGGATGAACAAATCTTACACATTTCTGCTTGCACAAGAGAAGGCCTGAAAGTGAGGTTGAGGAGGTCCTGAAAGTATACCTTCTATTATCTGACAAGGTCAGCAGTTCCCCACCTCTATTGTAAACAGTGTTAGCAACACAAAGTTTACTCCTCTAAAAGCACAATGGTTTGCCAGAGTCGTTTTAAGGCTGACTTTTTGTCTGCCATTTTTTTCTTTGGCCTCACAAAACTATCCCAAGGTACAAATGGTGACTTCTGTAACCACCTGGGCAGTGGAATGCTTGGCTGCAAGACACACGTTTGTGTCAAGCCAATCATGTTCAACTGGAATCCTTATTCACCTTCACAGCATCCATTGCTGTCAGTCTCTGCCACCAAGTTTGGGGGTTGCTTCCACCCCAGGTACAGCAGACCTTAACGGTGGCTACATCAACAAGAGGCACAGTCCATGGTCCACTCAGACTTTATAATCCCGGACCTCAGATAAGACCTCTCTCGTTGATTACGTCCCTGATCAATGTCTGACTCGCCACAAGGTGGTGATCAAGGAAAGTTCCAAATCTCTCCTCACCACAGTGTCTAAGACATGTGGCTGAAGGTCATAAGAAACGGCTACAAAGTCCATCATCAACCTTCAGTCTAGATTGTTGTGGTGCAATCTAGACTGTTGAACTTTAACCTGGGGGACATTATGGGCAAACCATGATTTGCACATGAGTCTGATAATACACCACCACTTTGTTTCAGACATGGATCATTTTTCTCTTAATCGCATCCTTCCAGGTATCACTGTGGTTTCCCACACGGGCAATCAAATAGGATGATTGAGTCTCTGAGAGGGGTGAAGTCCAGCACTCCTATCAAGCTTTTATGGATCAGATTACCCTTGGTGTTGAATGCTTCCCATCAGTGGCTGACATTACTAGCCTTGAATTTTTTTCATATCGTGAAGATTTTTTTTAATGACACTGTTGTCTTGGAATACCCTACCAGAAGCATTTAAGCACCAGAAAAATAGTCTCAGGTATCATCCAAGAATTGAAGTCCCTCCCCCACATTAAGGAGGGGATTTCGTAGACTAAATGATAAGTGAATTGTATAAGGAAGGTTTTAACAAGATGTTAAAGCCTCTATTACATGACTGACAAACTATATATATATATATATATATATATATATATATATATATATAGTTTAGTAGAGGTGCTATTCAGGACACACTGGGGAAAAAAGGCACATGTTTGCTCATATGGAAAATTAAAATAACCTCATATCAAAAATGTATATACGCAAGCTTATACCAAAGTTTACAGGCAAAATTTCCACAGCAATATTTTAATTGGTTTTGAAAAATAAATAACCCTTGGCATTAATGGTTTCTAAAAAAGCACTGAACAAATGGGTCCTGTGTTCAGTTTGGGGCCTCTGACTTTTTTTTTTCCCAGGCTCTAAACTCCAATCTGTAATGTATAAGTTTCAGTCAAGCTGAGAGCAGACTATTTTATTGTGTTTTTATTTTAGGCTCATTTTATCCAGCTTTGGTAATTGTTTTTCTCCAACAGGGGAAATACTTTGAAATCCAGTTCAGCTCCGGTGGTGAACCAGATGGGGGAAAGATTTCCAACTTCCTTCTGGAGAAGTCACGCGTTGTCACGAGGAATCCTGGAGAAAGGAGTTTCCATATTTTCTATCAGGTAAAGCTGACATTGTTTTTAATAATTGTTTTATTTTATTTTTTTTTTCAAATGACCTGAGGCCCAGTGGAAAAGCTAATATTAAAATAATAAAACTGTATGAAAAGATTTTAAGAAGGGATCAATATTCTGTGACACCCAAAAATTTGGCAGGATATGGAGGTAAATGGAGATATTTACCAAACATAACATGTTTTTGAAATTTTGGATCAATCTTTTGAAATTAATGTCATGATGTTTCCTTTTAGAAAAATGTTTATGATTAAATGTTGCTATTACTTCAATATGAACAAAGTAAACAACTATCTAAAAATCAGCCTTTAACCCTTAGAGTAATTGTTGGTTTATATTATACAAGATTAAATTACACACTTAAAACACACTTTATTTTTTGTGACTTAAAGTTAATGTAAACCCCAAACTTCTCACAAGACCAAAATATTACATGGAAAATTACATTTTTTTATTAAACATTTTAAGAAACTCCATTGTGACCTTTAAAATAATTGAGAAAGGCTGCTGACAAGACAAGATGGTTGTCAAACAGACTGCCTTAATAACAAGTGTAGGCTGCAATAGGCCATTTCTAAATAAGGTGACTGTTCCCAGATGGTATATTAAAGAAGAGTTGAGTTGACCTTAAGATGGCTGTAAAGCCACTCCATTCTAATCTTTGTTAGAAATGAACAAGGTGTGTAGTCAGAACCTCAAGAGCCACCACACACAGATGTATCAAAGATAGACTAAAGCTGCGATTCAGTACTGGGCCTGAGACATAATCACACGGGTTTCATCTGGGCTACAGAGAAAAGGCCAGGCTGTTGCTGGGGTAATGGTAAAGTTGTTGTTTTTTCGGCTGTTTTTTTTTCCATTTCATTTGTGAATGGAAGTCTGGCCTTGGAAGATTAGAGCAGCTTCTTGAGGTAATACGTAAATGTTTCACTTGTTGATTGTTGGAGTGAAGGTTGCATGATATTAAGAAAACCTGTTATATGCGATGTAGAGGGATTACTGCATATATGCATTAATACTTACAGTGCATCTGAAAACTATTCCCAGTGCTTTACCATTCCCACATTTTATGCTAAGGTCTTCTTACAGGTTACTTAATTAAAATCTCTCATGTGTAGCACTATTGATACTTTTCAGAAGCACTGAAGAGGTATGCAGTGATTATGATTTTTGCTCTTGATTCATAGAAAAAACAACTAACACATTTTAGGGCATGTTTCTTGCGACATGGGATGACTAATTCTGTGATGGGATGTGGTATCTCTTGTCCATTTGTTTATCAGACTGATGCAGCCCCCTTGGCTGATTGTATGTCATGGGCATTAGGGCCTTAGCCAAATAACATGCAAGGGCTTCCATTATTTATTTGTACCTCTTTGATTTTTTTCCTCACTTGTAAAACTCTGGTAATCTGCTGGACTGTTCCATCACACAAACTGCTCTGTGGAAAAAAAGTCTTCACATTCAATAGTTTTTCATGTGACAATCCAAGGTGCTCTGAGTAGACAGACAGAAGGACACGAGAGATTTCTGGCAGAGAATCAGTGCAAGATACGCATCTAGCTCATTTTGCAACTAGTATTTTGGTGCTGACATTCTAATCATTGTCCTCTCCTGGTGTTGTTTTTTGGTGTTTTTTATTATGTTCCGGGCATTTAAGTGTTGTGTAATATGTTTCCTTCTAGTGATAAGCTTTTATGGAGATAGTTTTTCCAGATTGACTTGGCGCACCTAGGTCACGGCTTAAATTACAAAGTCATGGTGTAATGAGTTTGGTATCACTTATTTCCTACAAGGTCACCTGAGAGTTGCTATCAAAGCAACCTGATTCATGTTAGTCCATCAGCAGAATCACTAGCTGATTGCCTCTGTGGACATCTCCTGTAACAAAACCTTTTTTTTTTTGTTGTTGTTGTAATATTTAACATTTTTGAGATGCCTAGTTTTAAGGTTTGGTTTATTGTTAACCATAATTAACAAAGTGAAGAGAACAAAAAGATTGTTCTAATTAATTATATATATTTACATAAAGAACATTTTATTTTGTTACATTTTATGTTTAGTTTATATCTCTCACACCAAAGCTTTTCCAGGGATTGGGTGCTTTATGCCCATGGAAAATTTACTATAAAAAACCTCTACGGCTGGTTTACACTAAAATAAATGTTGAATATGTCCTCCACAGTTGATAGAAGGAGCCAGTGGAGAGCAGAAAAAAAGTCTGGGGATCACAACCCTGGATTACTACACTTACCTCAATCAGTCTGGCTCTTACAAAGTGGAAGACATCAATGACAAGAGTGATTTCCAGGAGACCATGGTACGATTAAGTTACTTCAGTTTATCTTGTTGCGTCTTTTCCACTATTTTGTGAATCTCCATCCTCTCTTTTTGCCTGTCGTCTTGTTATTCTTATTGAGTGAATGCCTATTTTTCTCCAAGGAAAGCACTGTAGAAGACATCAGACCACACACTGTAGTCCTGATTAAGCATCCTGTTTCTCTTATCTGTTTCTGCAGCAAGCAATGGATGTGATTGGCATATCACAAGAGGACCAGTCCATGGTGCTTCAGATTGTGGCCGGGGTCCTGCATGTGGGGAATATAACCTTCAAAGAAGTAGGCAACTATGCCGCTGTGGATAGTGAGGAGTGTAAGTAGAAAGATTGTATTTATTTTGTTAAGGATTAAACTTTGGCTCCATTCAGCTCCTACCAAGATATTTCATCGGGCACAAAGTGGTGGCAGACGGTTTGCAGACTCTGAAACATTTATGCGGTTCTAATGGGGCTAAATGGGTAATGGGAATATTTCGCTCCTATGTTTTGTGCACTTAGCTGTCGTCCTTAAGCTGGCTATGTGGGATATTTCTCCAATACTTCTCTCTCACACACCCTAAAGTTTTACTGTGTTAATGCAGGCCTTCTGCCAGCAGACTGAGGTAATCTTGTCTTATGGTGGACTACCAGAAAAACTAAAGCCAAATTTTGCACAACTGCACTTTTGTCAGAAGCTAAATGATGTGAGAAAAATAACACATTATCTCCTATCCTGTTCCTTCTCATCTGTCACTGCTTCGTTTTATTATTTTCTTCTCTTCTCCATCTTTAACAAAATCTCTATAAAGTCTTGGAAAGTGCCAGGGGGAACAAAGCCCGACTGTTCTGTGCAGACGTAATAGTGGCACTTCATAATTTCTTCTCCTTCCTGCTCTCCCCAGTCTCACCGTATGGTTGAGTGTAGAGATTCCAGTTTTCTATGAGTTTTGGTGTAATGTTCTTGCAGTCCTCATTTATTATCCAAGTTATAATTAGAACATGTCTTAAAGATGTGGACTATATATTTCTTTTTAACCGTTGCATCATATTTAGGAATAGTTTTTGTGCTCGGTTAAAGATACCCAAAATATGTATATCAAAATAACAACCAAGACTCACTATTTTGCACATGGATGTGGAAATAAAGACAAATTATTTTAAATCTTATTAAAGGAAAAAAATATATATATCCTGCTGCTTTAGTGGAAAATCTTACTCATTAAGTTTGATGATACCTACTTATCTTAAATTGCTTATCCTCTAAGACAATTTAACTTACACAATTTGATGGAGGTAAATGCAAGGGGTGGTTCATACATTTTCATTTGAATAAGTAGCGTTAGATTACATAACACATAGTAAGCACCTTTTGCAGTTTACATTTATTTTGTATCCCTTCAAAAAGGCCCACTTGACAACCTGGACATGTAATGTTGGTGTTTATATGTCCTATAATGTAGCAACAACAAACATCGAATGACCGACTCCTGACTGTCAATAAGTCTGTTTAACCTCAACTTTGCATTACTTTTTATCACTTTTCTTGAAACATTTTGACTTTCTTTGTGTTAGAACAGTTTAATGACTTTCCACATAAGATTTTATATTTCCATAGCTGTTGTTTTTTACTTGCAAACGGACATTTACATATAACACTTCATAGAACTGATTATATGTTTAGATTCCATTAGGCTCTTTAAAACCTATTTTACATCATTCGTTTGTCACCTGAAAGTCCTCTAAATTATATCTGCATATTTTTAGCTTAAAGGTTTCTTGAGACAACTGGTTATTCCTACTGTAGAAATTCCCATAGAAAAAAAAAACAGAGGGAATGCTATTTAAGGGTTTCCTCTATGAGCCCAACTGACAGTTTTTCTTTTTAGGTAAAAATCCAGAAATATTAAATTTGATCATCCAGTCCTACTTGCAGGCAGTTTCCCTCAATACACACCAGATATTCAGTTGAATTCATTTATAAACCTTCGATAGTTAATCAACTTTTTTATTTTAATCAACTTGTTTTTGCATGGTGGCAGAAAGATCAGACATGTCAGCTTCTCACTGTCTTATTGATCTCTGGTTCAAACATTGATCTGATTCTATTTATGGTATTTAAAATAAATTAAACATTCTTAACTGCAAAAAAAGTTAACCGCGTGAAAAAAAAGTCTAATAGACTGACCATGTAATTTAGAATGAATGTCTAAGATTCAGGATGTCATATTAGATGTTAAATATGCAGTTACCGGATATATTTGGCGACACGGTTGTCTGTTTTTCCATAGCTTAGAACTACTGAGCCTTTCCATTGACTTTAGTAGTTTTGGTTTGTCTCTCACTGAAAGTAATACAGCCGGAGACTCGAAGATGGAACAAAAATGTTTAAAGAATGCATGGATTTTTTTTAGGAATAAATTATTTCACAGAGTTTTGTCCTCAAGGCAAACAGGTAAAGATTATAAGAAATCTTAAGTTGGTTTGAACACATTTATTTCACTTAGAAAATAAAGAAATTGGAATTTATTGTATGTCTTTTTTACTTTAAAGAAGGCTCATGCTGTTTTACTCTTCGGATTTCCATCGGAGAGACAGTCTAACTAGTAGAGTTGATTGGTTGACAGACTGACTTCAGATGACATAAAAAGACAGGCTGACAGGAATGTTTCAAATATAAAAGCAAAGATCAAGACTATGCAGTGCTTTGTTTTGTTCACCATCACAAGTGCAAAGAGCAGTCTTGATGACTCAGTGGCTTGTGAATCTCTAAGACATCATTTAATCGTCAATGGGTAAAAGATGGGAAATTACAACTTTCCAGTTCTAATCCAATGCCCTGCTTGGCTCCAGATTAGCTAACAGTAACAACTGATATATACAGAGCTTTAACAAATAAAGAAATGTGGCTTTTTTATTTTTTTTTACCCTTTTCAAATCTGTACTGGTTTTTAGTATTTGATTGGGCCTATGAACATATGATATCGATTATCAGGTAAGGCAATACCACTCTGTTTCACTTGATTTTTTGGGGGGGTTTTTTTTCGAAGAGGGCATTAAGATGCTCTGGTGAAGTCATTATGAAGCTCTATTGCCATGCAACAATTTTTTTCACCTTAACAGCTGTTTTTGAAGGTGCAGGATTTTTAAGAGCATGTTGTTCAAAATAGAAATGATGCTTTTTAATATTTTCTCATTATTTGAACTGACTTCTCATCATCTGGATCTATTTTTTGAACAAATTGGAAGCAGGAAGATGAGTGCAGGCTGGAGTATTTATTTGTTGTAAGTTATATTTTTGTTTTATCAATCATCAATAATGTTGCATATTGCGCGTTTTCAATACCTAGCACAGGCCTGGGTTTGATTAATCTATCTATGCCTTAGTATTTACAGATGTAAAATATTTACTATACAACCACTGCAGAAGAAGCCCAACCCGAAAGATTTTTCATTATTAAAATGTTTCTAATGAGTGGAAGTATTGACTCACAGGGTCTTTGTTGTCTTTCTTCTATAACTGGTGGTAAAAGGGACCACTGCTCTGACAACACCCTGTCTATTACCCCTTTTCTGTCTTTCTGATGCTTTGATTAACAAATATCCTGTTGGAAAGCTGCTGGAGCATCGTCACAGAATGTTGGACGAAGTCTAAAATAATTCATATCGTCCCATATGTCTACGCTAAACAACCGAAGCAGGCGTACGGTCAGTCACACCCTAATCTCCCATATGGGGAGCTACTACATTGGTCTGAAGCATTCCCAGACGCAAGCCTGAGAGCTATTTCCTTTTAGGGGAAGTGAGTCACTGTAATAAGGCAGGGAGGAGTTCTCCAGGGAAACATCAACACCAGGTCATGGCAAGTAGTCTGTGGTTTGCAAAGTTTTTCTTTTAAGTGTTAGGCTATAACCATTGTTCTCCTAACTCCCTGCAGTAGAGGCCTCACTTTGGCCATCCATCCTAGTTTTCTCCAGTGACAAACGTTTTGTGGATTAGAATTATGAGGGGAATTTTTTCATATTTTCTAAAATGTTATGTCAGTTTAAAAGAATAAATGAGGTGCAAAGGATCTATTGGATAACCTAGTTTAAAATTGCCTAGTGTCATGCAAAATAAAGAGGAGGCAGCATTTCCACCAAGTACAATCCTGCAAGTTGATTTGCATGGTGGTATTCATGCAAAGGCACTCTTTGTATGTCTGGGAATAAACAATGTTTTTTTATGTCTAAAAAATAAATGCGTTTTCCCTTGTTGCCCCAAGTGATGTCAAAAACATTGTTGTTTTATTGGGCAGCAGGGATCAAAGCTACTGAAATAAAATATGAAGCAATTCTAATGTTTCCATAAAATCTTAACACATTTGGACTGTATTTTAAAAAATGTATAAATTAAATCTGAAAAAAAAAAAACATCCATAAGGTCACATAGCACCCATTGTTAAATGTTAGCTTTGCTTCTTCCTTTTTTTTCCAGTTTTAGCATTTCCTGCGTTTCTGCTCGGGATTGACCAGAACCGTCTGAAGGAGAAACTGACCAGCAGAAAGATGGACAGCAAGTGGGGAAATACGAAAGAGTCCATCGATGTAACCCTGAATGTGGAGCAGGCCTGCTATACTCGGGACGCTCTCTCCAAAGCCCTGCATTCACGCGTGTTTGACTACCTGGTGGAGGTACCTGTGCATTAACGTACATGAATATGTCTCTTTCCTAGCCTGTGATATCAATGAATTTATCTAATAGATCCAACATTTCATTTTAGTCCATCAACAGAGCCATGGTGAAAGATCATCAGGAGTTAAATATTGGAGTGCTGGACATTTATGGCTTTGAAATTTTCCAGGTGAGTCTTGACTGCTGCAACAACACACGGCTCAGATTAAGAAGTTCATTATTTAAACAGATTTGATGGAGAGGATGAAACTAATCTATAAAGTATACAGATTAGAGCACATATTATGACTGAGATGGCTTCTCATCTAATCTGATTACAAGTTGGTTTGGCCCTGGACCCGAGGTAGTTTGTTTCTTCTTGTTAAGTGTGGCAGCATGTGTACATTTGATTTATCTTTGCCTTCTTCTTCTTCAGAAAAATGGGTTTGAACAGTTCTGCATCAACTTTGTAAATGAGAAGCTTCAGCAGATTTTCATTGAGTTGACTTTAAAGGCTGAGCAGGTGATGTTTCCTCGCACTGGTTGCATACATATGTGTGTATATATGTATATATATCCTTTGTTTAATTTAGTCTAAAAGTCTGTTTTTCTCTATCTTGTAGGAGGAATATGTACAAGAGGGCATTAAATGGACTCAGATAGATTACTTCAACAACAAGATTGTCTGCGATCTCATTGAAAGCAAAGTAAATAAAACATGGAATATTCACAACACGAGAATAAAATTAATGTTTTTATATTTTTACACAAAATTTGCTTTGAGGCATTAATCCAAAAACTGATTTTTTTTTTTCATGTTCAAGTTTTATCCCTTTTCTCCATATGTAAGAAAGATAATTAAAGTCATAAATTTAGATTTACATTTAACCAGACTCCAAGAAGCATGGGAATATGGGCTTCTTCATTGCTGAGTGAATCTATACCTCATATAGTGTTCTGGGGTAGAATGACATTCAGACGAAAAGTCTAGCTCTTTCCCGTAGACTTTTCAATAGTTTTATACCTGTTTAAAAAGATAAATGCTCTTCCTTTCAGCGATCCATGGAGATCCACAGTTCCCCCACTCTTTTCCTGACTGATTTATTTTCCTTTATATATATATATATATATATATATATATATATATATATATATATATATATATATATATATATATATATATATATATATATATATATATGATATATATATATATGATATCATATATATATATATATATATCATATATATATATATGATATCAAAAAAGGAATTGGTGTATCTGGGCTGTGTCCTGAGAACACATCCTAAGGTTTACCTCCATTTACAGACCAAGGTTGGGAATTAGAGGCTTATCGGAACCTTATAAAATAATAATAAATACTTCATGACCTTGGGTTTAGCAAACAGTTTGAAAGGTATAGCATATTTAGTTTGTTTTAAGTGTTTTAATTTTGTCATTAAAAATATTTGGTAATCCTAACTTAAGTAGAGCGGTAAATTATATTTTATTTTTGTTTTCTAAGGAACAGTGTATATGAACATCTGGTTTAAACAGAACATCATAAGCAAGCATAGGGACTTCCCCGGAGCCCCATTAAAACTTTCTAAAACCGATTCCAATTTTCTAACATTTTTCTGATGATAAACATGTTTCAAGCTGACAATAGAAAACAGGCCAAGTTATTGATTTTATGTGTTATTATTGTTTCTGAATCAAAAAAACTTGCTTTGAAGTTTAACCCACAGCTTCCTATTCCCAAATATACCAACGTTGATTGATCATTTATGCTTAGAGGCCTAATCCACCAAATCCACAACAAGGGCTTTAAAGGAAGCCTCTGTCTAAGAGGAAGAGAAGATTGTATCATTGCCCAACAGTTTAGCTTTTTGCCTAATCCAGTGACAAAGTTAACATGTGTCTCATTAACAGTCTTCTTTGAGCCTGAGAGGCTGCTGGGAAACCACCGAGGCTTCAGATGAAGCACAAAGCAGACTGTTAAGGGTTTTATAGAAGCTCAACTGAATTGGATCTGCTTTTCAAATGTGATTCACATCTTAAAGAATTTTAGTTTTCCATATATAGTTTCCATTGATCCTTTAGATAGACCTTAAACATTCTGGGACTAAACAAAGGGTGAAAGATAAATATTTTGTCAGAAATAAATAGTCTTCCTTGTGATCCCAGAGTCCTCCTGGTATCATGTGCATCCTGGATGACGTATGTGCCACCATGCACGCTGTGGGCGAGGGAGCCGACCAGACAATGCTACAGAAGCTCAGGATGCAGATCAGCTCACATGAGCACTTCAACAGCTGGAACCAGGGCTTCATTATCCATCACTATGCTGGCAAGGTCAGTGTGCAGAGATACATTTTCAGAGGACTGGCAAGAGACCTTACAGCTTTCCCAGAATCATTATACACCTGTCATTGTTTCGCCATGTGTCTGACGTTGGCTGCTGATGGTTTAGCTCTGGAAACTGAGACTTTTTTTAATAGTTTTTGTGAGGGAGTCGTTCCTTGTATGATCTGTCATAAACAGCAGTTGTGCAGCTGGTGTTTCCATTTTACAGTCACCATCTTAGTCCTTTTTTTAAAGGTTTCCACTTTAAAACCAGCTCCATATTAGACCTCCTTTCTCTCTCTTCCTCATTTTTTTTATCATTGCATCTTTTTCTGTGTTTATATCTAAAATCCTGGCAGCAAAGTCATCCAGCTTGAAGTAATGCACATTGTCCGGTATGAGTTTCTGTGTACTGAGGTTGTCCCGTGTCATTCTCCAGATGTGTAGCGGCTCTCAGCTTAGCACACATGCCGTCAGCTTAATGAACCTTGCAAAACTGAAGGCCTTATGCTCCCATGGCTGAGCTCTAAACACTCCTCCCCTTCTCAACATACAGTTTAACTAAAACATCATAGTCCTTTGACAAAACCACTGGTTTAATGAAGTTTAGATTTTCTTCTCACTAATCACTGTTATATTCTGATCTGCCTTAAGTTGCTCTATGTACCTCTCTCCAGGTGTCCTACGATGCAGAGGGATTCTGCGAGCGGAACAGAGATGTCCTTTTTACTGACCTCATTGAACTGATGCAAAGCAGTGAGATGTAAGTCATTTGAACTCTGCACTATAATATGAGGAGCATTTTATGGCTGCACACTTAAAGAAATCATCCCCTTTACAACCATTTGGTTATAATTAACCAAACTACAGAAGTTTTGATCCGTCGGCGGGATGCTGCAGAAGTGCGGGGGGCTGGATGTCACCCTGCCCCCCTGACTAACATCAGGATCTTGCTCATGATGTGGCTTTTTGGTCGACACAGTTTCAGGCTTCTTTTGAGTCTGTTTTGTGGAGTCTGGTCTCCCTGTGTTACAGTTGTGCGGCCATCTGTGCAAACAGCATTATTATCTATGTAACACCCCACAAAGCTTCTTTGTGTGCACATTCACCAAGCCATGAAATAGAAGGCTGCATCCAATTCCTGTTAAAACAGGTGGTGATAAATGGATCACTTATATAGTGATTAAAATGAGTTAAAGACACAGAAATGAGAGAACACTGACATGAAGGAGCAGGAAAAAGGGACCGGCCACAGAGATCTTTTTATGCACACAAACTGTTAATCCTTTGATTAAAGGCCAAGCCAGACATGTGGATCTTCTCCCATTTGTATATTGCAGACGGAATGATTAAAAGAAAATATTCCTATTAAAAAGCAATATGAGGCATTCAGTCTTCTTGGGTACACACCTGCTATCAACTATGAAAAATTACTGAACTAGTTGAATTTTTCTGACTTTTCCACATTGACACCCATTTGCTAGAGTCATTGTTTGCAGATTAAATTAAACAAGTGGATTTTTTTTTACAAATGTGTTTGTCAGGAGAAACCAAAAGAAAAGCCAGAACATTATTAGAACCAATTGATATATTTGTCGTACATAGTTAATATTTTGACAAGATTCAGCTGGTCGCAAAGGCTGGAAGGACGCTTTCGGTAACATTGAACAAAGGCTGGGTGTGTTGTAAATGTTAAAACAAACAAAGTCTGACTAAGATGCAGGGTTCTAAGATTAGAAAATAAGGCCTGGTTCAAAATCTCCTTTTGATAGAATGCTTTAAAGTCTGATACAGTTAAACACTGAATTTTAGGTGCCGTTTAAAGATATATGCTTGGGCTAAAAGTAGAGGAAAGGAAGGTGGTGAAGGTATCATGCTCTGCTTAAAATGCTTTCTGAATGCCTCTCAGTTTAAACCTAAATTCTGGAGGTAACTGCAGGAAGATTGAAGATGAATTTTGGATTTTTAGTCCAAGCAGACATCCACATAAATAAAGGCTCCCTAGAAGAGAATGAAATTTTATAAACGGTCCAACCACATGAAAAGGTCTTACATTTCCTAGGCTTCGGGAAAACACACTGATTTCTTTCTAATCTTTTTTTCCTTCTCTCCTTAGAAGAATAATTTTTTCTAAAGAGATGTCTATGTAGATATTTGTTACTGGCACGTGCACACACTCCTCTTGTTTTCCCATCCTCCCCTAGCTCAAACTTTCCCAAATGTTTCAGGAATTTAGATGAGCGACCTCAGTCAAGCAAATATCCTTGGTTATTTAATCATTGACTGGACTTTTTTAATGCCAGCAGCCTGGAAAACTTCCCCTTTTGTTACAACTTTTTTGAATCTTGTTGATCTGTGAATAAACGTCAGTGTCTGTCTCGCCTCATCTGTCCCGACGTAGTGCCTTCATCAGAGCACTGTTTCCAGAGAACCTAAATGCTGAGAAGAAGGGTCGGCCAACTACTGCAGGCAGCAAAATAAAGGTACTTGTTTGAAAGTGTGCCTATCTCATCTGTAATCAGGGTCAGTGGGAGAAAGATCTTTGGGTTGAGGGTTAAATTTGCTGTTCAGTGGATTGTCCTTCAGAGTATCACCTGAACTAACAGTCTGCATAACTGTTTTAGGTTGTCATCGTTTTAACTTAATGACCTTTTTTAGTCTCCCTTTTTTATGTTTGCTATTATTTTTCTCTTTAGAAACAAGCCAATGACCTGGTTAGCACACTAATGAAATGCACTCCACACTACATCCGTTGTATCAAACCAAATGAGACCAAGAGGCCCAGAGACTGGGAAGAATCACGGTGAGTCAGGGCAGAACCCTCTTCTCCTAAAGCACAAAAAGAAACAAACAAAGCATTTCCTACTGGTTTAAAGAAATGCTATTCTTCTAGAAATATTCTGAATAAATCATACAATATTAGCATGATAGTATCCATTCTGATTGTTTGATTTACAAAAAATTAAATAAAAAATGCTGCACACTTTGCTGCATGCAGAAATGTGCTCCCATACATAAGGTACATATTGTTTTTCCTTATGGTTCATTATGTGGGGACAAAAAACGGCATCCTTCAGTTCTAGGTTTTAATAGTGCTCCACTCATTCACAATAAAGGAGGAAATGTTGTCATGTTTAAAGGTGACAGCACTACATTCATGCTTTGAATCCAATACGGAGTTTTACATAAAGACAAACATCCTTTTTTGTTCCTTAGGTTTTTTTCTTCTGATGTCAGTATTTGTCCTTTTAGCTGATGTTTTCTTTCCCTCTGAAGGTGTTTATTTGAAGAACCCCCTTCTTCTTCTTTGTGCTTTTGTTCATCAGCTTCCCCAACAAATGCAAACTTTGGGTATTATGTGTTCCCACAGAGTGTAATGCTGCATTGTTCAGAGCTCATGATGGCCTTCCTGTTGGGAGCGGGGCGTAATGTGGCTCATTAATCAGCTGCGAAACCGTTGTTTTACAGGAAGCCTGACTGTACCCAAACTTAATCTCTTTAAGAAAAAAAGCCTACTGTTTTGCATACAATTACCTGTTATTGTTGCTTTTCTGGAGTAGGGGGGAGCTTCATGAATGTCAGAAATATTTTGGAACAAAATAGTGGCCGATGATTTTAATGCTGTATTAAAATGAAAAAGCTGGGGATGATGACTTTGGATGTGAAAAAAGGAAGCACACGAATACACTTAATGTGACAATGTTGTGTCTGCAGGGTGAAGCACCAGGTGGAGTATCTGGGTCTAAAGGAAAACATCAGGGTGAGGCGTGCTGGCTACGCCTATCGTAGAGTCTTCCAGAAGTTCCTGAACAGGTTTTGTAATTCACACTCATGAGGCTTTATTATTGTAGTAGTTTGAACTGCTTTGAATTTTTGATTTTTCCCGTTCCCTCATTAAAATCCAAAGATCATTGTGACTGTGCTTTCTTGTAATCAGGTACGCCATCCTGACCAAAGAGTCATGGCCAACGTGGCGAGGAGACGAGAAACAAGGCGTCCTTCATCTCCTACGCTCTGTCAATATGGACCAAGATCAGTTTCAGCTCGGGAAAACAAAGATCTTCATTAAAGCCCCTGAATCTGTGAGTTTTACTTATCATTAATCTTTCTCTTTTCTTGACAAAATGCTTTTTTTTTTTTTATTGTCAATTCATATCGCCAAATCAGAAGGAAAATAATATCAAAACGGTTTTAATTCTCTTTTACCAATACGAAGCTGAAAAGTGCAATATTAATTCATATTTAGCCCCCCGAGCACGGGTCTCACCAGTTGCGTCCGACTTTTTAATCTTTTATTCAATTTCACATAAACTGCAGTCCATATAGAGAGGCTTCAAATACCCATAGGGTGAGCAGGTCCTGATCTTTGAAGATTTTTTTTCCACTTCTGTCTCTGTGCCCCAGAATTTCAGACAATGTTATTATTTTTTTATTTGCAACCACGTCTCTCTTCCTGTCAGACCCATTAAAATGCAGCTGAATTGATGTGTACTCTGACTAAATCAGAGCTGCGCAAGCCACCTTTCAGAAAATAGTGTCAGGTATGATCATCCGCATTCACTCTTTTTCTCTATTTTTTACACACACAGTGTGTGCAAAAAGAAATTTCATTCAGTACAGCTTTCAAGACATTTCCATTTTTAAAGTGCAACATTGATCAAATGTAAACATAGGACTGGTATATGATTTACAGATTCCTACATTCAGCACTTTTATTCTTTTTTCTTTTTAAACCCCATTTTATACAGCATTCAGTGAACGTTCAGTCTTAGTGAACGCTAAATGCCACATCCTCTTACCACACGAGTTCCTCTGTTGATTGGATGCAAAATCATATTTAATGTGTTCAGCATTTAAGATTTGTCTCAATTAGCTTTGCAAATGAGCTCAGACTGAATGATGCAGAATATCTCTAAACATCAAATACTTGCATTTGGTATAAAAAAAAAAACATAAATAAAATAAAAGCTCCCCTCCAGAATGATGCTGCCGCTACCATGATTTGCCCCTTATATAGTCTTATTTTAGGACAACAAAAATACATTTTGGTTGAATCTAACTAGATCCAATGTTTCATACGTTTGCTGTGTCCCACGTTTGGACTAATTAGGCTTATTGGAAGTCTGGGATACTGTTGTTTTAGTTTATTTCTACACCACAAGCCTGTTTCAAATTTCCTCACAACTTGGGTGATATGTTGCTTGGCTTTTATGATGCTCTTTATTTACTAATGTTCTCTAACAAACGTTCAAAGCCATTAGAGAAGAGCTAGATTTTAAATGAAATTGAAGTTGATATTTGTTTACCGTCTTTACTCAATAGGTGACCAATACAAGCAGTTTGGTTTTACAGGGTTTTATTTAGGGGTGTAAGATTATGGGGTGGGGGGGATGCACAAACTAGGTTTTTGGATTTCATTTACAGAGCAAAATTTTATGTTAAATGTTTTAAAATATGCACTACTCATTGCTGGTTTATCACATTTATTTACCTTGATTTAAGTGAATCCAAAAAAAACCATTGAAATTTGAGTTTGTAACAAAATGTAAAAAAAAAAAAAAATAGCTGAACGGTTCTGTTAGTCATCAATGATGGGGAAGTTTCCCTTTTGTCAGTGATATAAAAACACATACTCAGTCTTTTTACTCTAAGCACCATAAAAGGCAAATCAAGCCAAAATTCTTCTTTTAGGAGAGGAGTTTGAACCCAAACATCAGCAGTGAGTCAACACTACTCTGAAGCTAAAACACAAGCTCTACACTGTTTCTGCAAAAAAAAATTTCTGTGTGTGTGTTTTGGGGAGGGGGGAGGGAGGTTTGTGTTTTCTGACAAAACCGCTTTTTGAGTCTTGAAGCCTGTGCCTCACTTATTAACATCTGCACATATCAAGCAGCAGGCAGCATGCATGTGTACACACCCACAGATCTATATTTAGAGACTTGCACACAGACATCTCATTTTCACTCTGGCCTTCCATTTAACCCTGAATGCCCACTCATGTACTGCAGCCATACTGCCACCCAACAGAACGGGAGTCCAGGCCGCTGATTAATGAATCTTAAATATTACAGGGTGCAGATGGCTGAAATGAGCTGACAGGCTTCTCAAAACAAGCACATGTGAGATAAGAACCTGACCTCTGTTAATTAGGCGTATGGAAGAAGACATCTCTATGTTGGATGCAATGAAAGAGAAAGTTGTCTGACAGCAGGTGCTGTAGAAGCTCCTCTGCCAAAGGGAGTCCTTGTCTTAAGAGTTGATGCCTAAACTACTCAGCATCTTGCTGTTTATCTCTGGATTTTACCATTAGACCCATTCAGCTGCTCTCTTTCTGTAAAACTTTACTGGATGCTTGGCATCAGACTCCCAGGCTGTGAATCATTGCATTTTTCTACTCTGTGCTTTTCTTGTGGCTTTAGTGTGATGTGCAGTATTGTGTTGCGGTGACCTCCGTCGTGCTCGGGCCTGTGGTCACCTTTGCTGATGCAAGGGCGGTTGCAACGCCGGACAGGATGTTTAGTCTGGCATATGTAGAGGGCACAGAGGGTGATTGCATGTTAAGAGGTCCAGCAGGAAATTACATAACCTGCCAAGAAGTCCATTCGACTCTGAGTTTACTGATAAAGGCATTAATCGTTCAGAGCAAATGGATCTAAAACCAAACAAGCACACAATGGACCCAAAATCTTTTAATAAGTCGCCCACATGTTCTTGCGGCACTTTTGTTTAACCATAGCTTGCACATTTTCTCAATTAACAAATTTTTTCGTAAGGCATATCATTGAGGGAAAATAAGATTTCTTATTGTTTAAAATCCAGATTTTGTTATTTCCACACATCTGATTAGCATGAACATCTCATTAAAACTAAATCATAATCCAGTTTTTGACAGAGACATTTCAAACTTTGTTTTTCCTTTACAGATTTATTTTAATAAATAAGAATACAAATAGAACTTTATTTTAGGATTGTATTTTAGAAGTTTAATTCTATTTATTTTGATTATGTCGATCTATTAAAACCCCCAAATTAAAATACATTTTCTTAAGAAAAGGTATGATTATCTTTCCAAATAAAAAGAAAAGTGTTATCTGGTCATATTAATGGGAAGTTTGCTCGGAAAAACGATGTATAACAATGGATTATTGATTTGGAGGCTACTACAATAGGTGCATTTTTGTTAGTTTTCATGTTGAGTGGAAAACAGTTTTAGAAAAACTTTTTCTAGTAGGTGTATCATCAAATCAAACTTGGCAGCAATAAATACTTAAAAATTATAGCTCTGTGAGTAATGGATCTTTGTAATATGTTTCACCTTTCACAGCTTGAAAATAACCCTGTAAGATGAAAGCAGGCTGTCGATTTATTCTCTCAGAAACAATCAAATGACCTCTACTACTTAAGTCAAACTGGTTTTTTGATTTCAGCTGCATCTCATTAAGGTCGATATGTCATCCTTTCTGTGTATTTAGGCGTGACCGAGGTGTTGTTCCTTTTATTCTTTTTATCCTTATAGCTGTTCCTACTGGAAGAGACAAGGGAGCGCAAGTTTGACGGCTACGCTCGGACCATCCAGAAAGCCTGGAGGAAATATGTCGCCCGCAAGAAGTACGTCCAGATGAGGGAGGAAGGTGAGTAAAGATGCCCAATTCTACTTCAAATAATTTGGCTGCTTGTGGCTTCAGCTCTCACATAACTTTCACTATTTTTAGCATCTGATCTGCTGTTAAACCGGAAAGAGAGGCGGCGACACAGCCTGAACCGAAACTTCGTAGGGGACTACCTGGGAATGGACGACAGACCAGAGCTTCGGCAGTTTCTTGCCAAGAGAGAAAAGGTTGACTTCGCTGATAAGGTCACCAAATACGACCGGCGGTTTAAGGTTCCTTTTCCTTGTGTTTCTACTAATTTTTGATATATTTTTTTAACACTTATAAAGAGGATATAACCTTTTTTTTTTTTACTTTTTTTTTTTTCTCAGGGAATTAAAAGAGACTTAATTTTGACTCCTAAAAGTGTTTATCTGATTGGAAGAGAAAAGGTGAAGCAGGGACCAGAGAAGGGTCAGGTGACCGAGGTGCTGAAGAGGAAGATCGACGTGGAGAAAATCTTGGCGTTGTCTCTCAGGTACAAAAGTTTTTATAATTTAAAACATAGAGATTTTCACACCCACAAACTTCAATGTATTTAAAGTGAATTTTTATGAGACACACCAACACAAATGCACACATCTTTGTGAGCTGGAGGGTCAAGGATTAAATGTTTTCCAAATAAATGTGTGAAAGTTTGTTGTATTCAAAATCTCCCATATTTTCAAGTCTTAAAATCCTTAAAGAGCATACTTTACTTACACTTTCTATTTGCCCTATCTTTCAAAATCCCAGTTATGTACCGTACTTTGAATATTGTGGTTCCAAGGCAATAAAATGAAAAAGCAGTTGTAAACACATGTAAGGAGAGGAGCACTGTGTTGATTGATTGCTTGTGTATATTTACAGCTTTAGAGCACAAGGGCTCAACAATAATTCCCTTGTGATTATAGTGGAAGCTTAATCAGTAATGAATACAACATGGGCTAAACAAATTAACTTTAAAGCAGCAAATTGTATGCTTTTCCAATCTAAAAAAGTTTTGTTTCCTGACTCTGTTCTGCATTTCTGATATTACTTAAATATTTCCTATATGATGACAGGATTTATTTTAGTACAAGTTAATGAAAAATGCATCTGGCTCCCCCTCACCAATATCTAACTAGAGGGCAAAGGTTTGATGGTATGTTAATCTGTAACCTGGGTGTGACCATAAAAACTGTGAGGGATCCACTTTGCCTTCAAGATTTTGAGTATGTTAATTATAGACCAAGATATTAAAATTATTTCCAGTGCTTCTAAATAAAACAAGAATCAAACTGAGGGCTTTATGTCCTTTGATGATATTCTGTGTTCTTACATTTTATAATCTACCAAATCTGTCTTTAATTGCATTTTGATTTGATTTAATCAGATTCAATCATAAGAATTCAGACATTTTTCCTTTTTTAGAATCTTAAAATTACTTTCATCCATTTAAAAAATGGATGAAATGTAAATTTTTTTCAAGGTATAAATACTGGTAGACACCACACAATAAAGGCTGTAGACATCAGAGTGCAAAGGTCAAGGATATTCTTCAAACCCACAGTCTGGATTTCCAGTAAAAAACAGTCACCATGTTCCTGTAAAGTCACACAAAGGATGATGAAAACATATGGAGAAGATTTAAGGTGTTGCTAAAGTGCTGCACAGTCAGGAACACATAATCAGGATACAGTATGTTTATTATGATGAAATCGGCACAAAAAAAAAAGTTGTGGTCTCTAAAATGTTGATTGAGATGCTGTGAAAATCAGTTCAGAGGTTGAGTAGTTGATTTAATTTAGTGGCTTTTGACTGTTGGGTAATGCAGACCATGTGATGGGGAGAGTGAAAGTTAGAGCTGTAAAGAAACTCATCAGAGGCAATCTCCTCATAATGGAGGAACAAACTTCCCCTGTGCAGAGCCAAACGGCTAGGCTGTCGTCCCTAATCAGAGCTCAGCTGCTATTGTGAGGTCCTGAATGCAAAACTGAAAGCTGACTCTTCACAGAACAAAAAAAATAGAGGGGGATGCTGATGCTCTGAGATGGGTTGTTATGAATTAAAGTTTTCTCAAAACGTTGACTCTTTCAGCTCCCTGCAGGACGACTTCCTGATCCTGCATGAGCAGGAGTATGACAGCCTGCTGGAGTGTGTTTTTAAGACAGAGTTCATCAGCTTACTGAACCAACGGTTTGAGGAGAAAACCCAGAGGAAGCTGCCACTCAAGTTTAACAACACGTAAGTTTACGCATCCTGGAAAATCACCTTTTAAAACATTAAACTCTCCTCTCGGGCTTTTAAGATTAAGTGCAAAATATAAAATGTATAAAATATATGGCATTTATCCCCAGACTGGAAATGAAGCTAAAGAAGGAGAACTGGGGCTTTCTGAGCGGGGGCGGCTCCAGACAGGTGCTGTTTGTGCAGGGACAGGGAGATGTAGCTGTGCTGAAGCCATCGAACAAAGCTCTGCAGGTCAGCATCGGACCGGGCCTCCCCAAAAACACACGTGAGTATCATCTGTAAAGCAGAACACTGACCTACTTGCATAACGAATCATTACAGTATAACATTTCTTATATTTTGTATTCCTTACTGTCCCCTTATAATTGCTAGGTCCAACCAGGAAGAGTTTTAGTCAAAGTCGCTCTAATACTTCCAGAAATCAGCACCACAGGCCATCAAGAGCAGCACCAGGACCTCCAGGTATGCTCATCCAACTTTTTCAGCTTCCCGGCTGCTACTCCATTGTTCACATCATCTGTTAAAGCATCTCACATATTTTCTCTTTGTAGCTGGTCACCAGAACGGGGGCCTAAAAAACACTAACCACATCGCCAATCAGAGGAACTCGCAGCATCATGGACAGAGGCATCCCTCGTCCTCCAACTCCACCCGCCCGTTTCTGCCCAGCAACATCGACCAGCTGAGGGATCGTGATGGAGGTAGCCGGCAGCAGCCAAACCTGGACTGCCTGCGGGTTCCGGACCAAGGCGCTGCAGGGTGAGAAGTGGACACAAACTGACAGATAGCAGCAATCCACACAGTCAGGATGCGGTTGACCTAATGAACCAAACATGAGAAAAACAAGCAGCTTGTATTGTTCTCCATCTTGTAACAAATGGTTTCTTGTGGCTGCAAGCTATAGTTAACCTTTTAGAGCCTCCCAGTCAGGGACCCAGAAAGAATATAATAGAGAATCAGTAAAGGAAAGATTAGGGTGATGGTAAAGATGGCTTCCAGTTCGGAACTTATTAAATAAAATGCATGGTCAAAAAAGTTGGAAATAAGCTAATCAGTATTTATGGCTGCTCTAATTCCACTGAGGATTTTTCAGTCTATTATTAAGCGCTTGATATTGATGACATGCCACTTAATTATTTAAATGTAAATACATCAGAGACAAGTATCTATGTTGAATGCAACAGAACTTTTCTTTTCATTTCTTCTACAAGCTTTTTTTCCCTTTTTTTTCTGCAAGAATTAGGAGTCCATTTTTATGGGTTAATAGCCTGTATTTGCTAAAACCGTTTGATGGATTGATAAACCTCATCAATTGGCAGATGGTATACACAGACGATGTCCTTTTTTAGTAAGCTTAGTTGAGATATTCCTTGAATTATTGTTTTAACATGCAGTATTTCATACATGTTCCAAGCTCACTTCACAGATGGAATTGCATTAGTCTTTCTTTGACGGGGGGGTCAAAAATCAGTCTAAAGTCTAGAGAGTGGGGTCCTCATCCTGAAAAGTTTCTGGGAACCCCAAAGTTAGGGATGAGCACCATATTTTGACACTTTGATACCTCTGCTGTTGTGTCTTTAATCTGACATAATCTGGCTGATTCGTTCTCTTGTAGCTCTGGAGGTGGACGGCCAGCACCAAACGGAGGAATGTGAGTTGGAGTGTTTGCAGTGTTTTTGGTGGTGGTTTAGAATAGAAGAGAGAAAAATCTAACGCCCTAATATCTCCTCAAAATATGAGTCTGTAGTTTGATTTAATGTCATTTCATTTTCTGATTCAGGGATTTGATTAGACCTCCCTTAATATATGGGATGATTACCAATCTAATTTAAAGGGGACATATCAAAAATCCACTTTTTCATTGTGTACGCAAGGTTTCTACAAGTCCAGAGAAGTTTAAGTTGGTCTCCGGGTTTTGGGTTGCTAAATGCCTTTCAATCCATAGAGTTCTCACAACTCTATATCACCTTTTTTTTTAATCTATGCTGTTGCAGTATTTGCTGTTGAAGTGCTAAACAAGGTCACAGACTTCCGGCTAACTTATTGAGTGAATCCACCTTTTCTTTTTCTCACAGAGTTTTTCTTGTTCAAGTTAAGGGATGCCTAATCAACAAGCAAATACATCTAAATTCCCTGTTGTTTGGTGTATTAACCAACATAAGTCAGTACACTATCATAGGAACTCTTTAGAAGTGACTGGTTAAATTACATTTTTCATGGGAATTTACCTACATCAGTGCAAAAAGTACCCTTTGTTTGCATGAATCACATTAGGAGAAGAGAGATTCAGCAACCCTGACCAGTAGGATTATTAGCTAAAAGTCTTAATCTGTCTGAGACGTCAGGATCTTCTGTCTAGAAACAATGGAGACAGCAAAGCAGTGAGCTGCAGATAGCGTTAAAATGAGAAGGAGCTTTATTATAGATTTGTTGATATAACATAGTGCAGCATTCTGGTGATGTTGGTGATGTTTGCTCCCATTTAGCTCCTCAATTACATAATCCTACTGTGAGGTTTGATAAGCAATATAAAACAAACAGTTTTTGCAATCTTTTTTTTTTTTTTCATGGGAAGACATGATCCAAACACATGCAGCTTCATGGTGGTAGCACTTAACTATGTTGGGGTGTGTATAAAACACACGTATAAGAATTAAGAATCTTTGTCGTCACTGTATGGACCGACGGACAAAAATAAAGACCTGTTGGAGACGAATGAGCATCCTTTGAGTCGATAAGAAGATTTAGTTTCATGTTGTGGTAGTTTTTATAGTTGCAAAGCCATCAGACATGTAGTTTGTGTTATAATTGTGTCAGTAACATTAAACCAATTCTTTGCAACTTTTAACCCAAGTATTAGCTTGATAACAGGTATATGAGATAGGTTTTCAGGCTGGTTGCAGCATTGTGTGCGTATCAGTGCTTACGCACTAAGACTGTTTAATTTTGCAACAGTGCAGTGTTATCAGTTGCTTTCAGGTGTACTAAACTTGGAAGTTACAAGTCTAGCGCCCCTAGTGGCTAAAGGACAGACGGCTTTAATGATTGTATTCTAGTTACTGCTGTGACCTGCATTTCTCTGCTATTGTTAAAGAATCATTTTTTTTATTTCTATTACAAAGTTAAAACATACAGTAGTGATCGTTTCAAATTATATTTTTCTTTCATTTTTCTCTCACTCTTGGTCAGACTCTGGCTTAAACATCAAAGGCTGAACAGTTTGGATTGTTAAACCTTTGCAATCAAACTACAAATATGGCCCTACAGGGAGGGGTGTAACACTCTACTGTTGTAGGGGGCAGGGTATGAAGTACCTCATTTGCATTTAAAGAAACTACACCAAAAAAAATTGTATGCCAATTAGTCTCTTCTTCAGTCAGGGTGGACAGAGCCTGAGACCTCTCGCAGCCAAAAAAAAATTATTAAAGTTGCTGTCACTGTACAGATTAGATGCTAAAAGAACCACATCATGTCAACCCCGGGCAGTAATGTCAGCACTATACCTTATATCAATGAAAGATAAGAAAGTTAGCATGTTGTTTAGTGGAGGAGCTTCTTGAAAGGGAGTTAAAATGGTGATGGACACATTTTCTTTGACAGGGAGGGGAGCTCCTGTTTAGGGAGAAGAATTAATTAATTACACCGTTATGAAAGAATCAAGCGAAATACCAATCTTGGGGTGATTCTGATGAAAGGAAAGCATTATAAGATGGTTTAAAAAATATATATATTACCACTTATGATGTTTTTAGAAACAAAAATGTCCCCGAGAGAATTGTCAGTGCTTATTTACTTGGTTGATCTCAATCAATTATACTGCTTGATGTGTAAAAATGATTTGTTTTTGTTTTTTTGTCTCTGTGTATTTTTTTGTGTTTGTTTTTATTTATTTTTTTTTTATCTCAGGGTTTGCTATTTTTTTATGTTTTTGGAAAATGATTAATATTCAGTCTTCTGTTTCATGTTTTGGATAGTGTTAACAGTTTAATGTTTCTGGATCATTGCCTCATTTTCTTTTCTTTACTAAAAAATCTGTTAGGTATGGAGGACATATGGAGATTGTATTCTGTATGGAGTAGTTTCACTGCCTAATACTTTTTACTTCTATTTGAGTAATATCTTAAAATATCCTTACTCTTACTTGAATAAAATGTTTGGCTGCTTCACCGACCGAGGGAATAATAATTCTACTGATTAAAGAAAACAAGCTGGTTACATCTGAGGAGCAACTGATTGGTTTAGCCGTTTTCCTGTGCGTTCTGGGACCAGAAGGGTCACGGAAAAGCTGGAGTGGATAAATCAAAAAGAAAATGGAAATGAAAATATGAATTTTATTTTTAGAAGTGTGTTTAGGAAAGTTGTTTATAATCAGATTTATGAACTGTGCTTTTTTAAATCTTCATTTATAAATCCAACTGTTTAATAATGGATTAATAAATACAATTCACAATTCCTCTTTAATTATTAAATTTAAAATATGCACTTAAAATGCCTTTCAAATAGGATTTCAACTTGCTTGATCTCAATGTTATATTTAAAATAGCTGTTTTTCTGTTTCACTGATTCTCTATAGCTCCTCCGCAGCTAGATTTCACTGTGCAGGGAAAACCAGAGCATGTGTTAGAGGGCCATCGTGTGGCTCATTAGGAAACAGCACCGTATCTGTGTGTGTTTGTAAAAAATTAGGGCTGAAAAATAAAAGCTGAACTCCCCTAAAATGGTGGAGAAAAGTTTAATATTTAACTTTATGCCTCTAGACATCTTTTTTAGACATTTGTTTTATCAGAAAGGGTTAAGAGTTGCTGAGGATGCTCAGATGTTTACATGCAGCTGTCGTCTGACCCAAGTCACTGCATCATATAGGCTTTAAATATTTCAAGAAATATCCTGTCCTGACTGCAGACTTGGATTTCTCCTCTTTTCTTATAATAGGGCCCACAGACCATCAGCCCACAGGCCTCCACCAGGAGGGGGGCGGCCAAAGCCTGCACCCAAACCAAAACCCCAGGTGCCCCAGTGCAGAGCTCTGTACGCTTACGACGCTCAGGATACAGATGAGCTAAGCTTCAACACAGACGACGTGATCGACATCATCAAAGAGGGTACTTTTTTTTTTTTTATGTTCCTTTTCTTTCCGCTCTGTCACCTCCTCATGTTTCTGCAATCTGATCATGTCTGAGCAGACGCCTCCGGATGGTGGACAGGACGACTTCGTGGGAAGCAGGGACTTTTCCCTAACAACTACGTGACCAAGATCTAGGAACTGCTGGCATTTCAGCACAAGACAATGCACCTGCCTGCGTCTCTGTTGGCCCCTGGTGGCCCCTGGCTCCGAGGATGGCACAGAGCCCACAGTCGGGGAAAACACTGCAAGACTCTTCTTCCACTACTGCCTTACATTTTATGAATGTAACTCTGTTACACCATCAGACCAAACAACTGTCCTGTCGGGCTTAATATTCTCCAAAGACAAAAAGACTGCTGGGCCTAAGGGTCTGTCCCCTCTGAGTACTGAACAAACTATTTATTGTATTTATGGATCTCTGTATTTTCCTTTTACTCACCTTATCATATATTGTAGAGGATTAGTGCTGCAGCGTTTTGAAGCATTCAAAAGATATCGGCTAAATCTCTGGGACCAGGCTGTGATTTTTCACTCTTTTTTTTTCTATTCTTTCTATTTTGCTTTTAGATGAAGGTTTTATCAGTTGAAGGAAACTGAGATTAAGTTTAACAGGAATATTTATTATAATGGAGACATTTAACTGCAGGAACAGACAAAGAATCATAATGCTGAGTAATGATTTTAAGAAATTAAAATACCAAAGTAAATGTTTTTTTCCACTGTTTTTTTTTTTTTTTTCTTCTTTCACTTCTTAGGGCATTGCAGTGAGGTGGAGTATTAGGTGAAGATCTTTCCTCACTATCATGGTGTTTTTGTTCTTTAATGGCACCAGTTTATTTCATGTAAACTGTAACCTGAGCGTGAAGTCTGTGGTGTATTAGCACTTTATTGGTACAGGTACCTTGGACACAGAAGGCATCTCACGTTCAAAGCAGACAAAGCTTTTGTCAATTAAGTAGATATTTTGATGAGCAAAAGCAAAAAAGTCACCTAGTTACTGAGGGGAATCACATGTTTACAAGAAATTAAAACAAAATGCTTTTTTTCCTAGATATTAATCTGTATATGTGTTCATATGTAGGAGTGCACCTGTTGGTGGGTACAAGTTAAAAGGATTTCTTCGTTTTTAACTTGGAGGATGTTTGTTTTGTAGATCTTTTTTTCTCAGCTGTGCTTCTTAAAAACAATAGTTTTATTGTATGTCCAGCTCTGCTACAGCATCAGTTATCACAGACTTGGGTGAAAGGATTTTAATGTTTTGTTAAGCTGTTTTAGGTTTGTGTTTCTGCACTTTTTTTATTTTCACTCGTACAAACATTCCTTAGTTTGTTTTAATCAGATGACCACATTATGCTGTAGCCAGTAAAAGCTGCCGGGACTCCTTTCTTAAAACTGCATCAATAAATATAGTTTCGTCTTAAGATCCTTGTTCTATTTATACTAGTAGTTAAGTATTAATCAGTCATCAGTTAATGCTTTTCTGACTCTTATCACAGATTTTTTTTTCTACATCAACTTTAACTCCATATAAACATTGTTGTACATCAAGTATGACATTGAGACCAGCAGCTTCAGAAAATATCGCCCTCTGCCGGCCATTAGACAGAATGCCAGTTTGAATTCACATCCATTTGAAGCTGAAAATCAGTCAATACAAGCATCTTGGTACACTGGAAGATAATTAAATATGTTAATTTTAGTGCTTAAATTCAAAAAGCTACCTGGCTTTTATTTAATTAAACATTAGTAAACATTGTCTTTGATACCCTCTACCAGGATATGTGTTTTAAGTGGCCGATCATACAAATATTCATGTGTGCTACTTGGGTTCCCTGTGGAGCACTCTTGGACCACACAAAACATCAAAAGAAAGCCAGAATGCAGTTTCTTGCTCAGTGGTTCAAAATTCTCTTTTCATGTAAAAGTAAATTTTTATAAATTCTTACTCTTTAACATTTTTTTTCTCCCTCTCTGCATCTTCAATGAATTTATTTCAATGTATTAATCTGAAATGTTGGTAATAGACAGAATATTCAACAGAGGGGGTTAAAGTACCCAAAGATTGTACTCTAGAGTAACACAACTTAATAGTTTTACCCAAAGAGTAAAAAGTAGATATTATTCAAGTAAAAGCATTGGTGGACAAAGTACTCAACAGGTGTGCTTGATGCTTGTTTTTTTTTTTTTTTATACTTTAATAATCCCAGACAGAAATTACTTCTCTGCATTAAACCCAGGAGCAGTGGGCTGCCATTGTGCGGCGCCAAGGAAGCAGTGTGGGGCTAAGGGTCTTGCTGTTTTAAAATACTTAAGTATTAAAATTACGAATTCTTTTTTCTTTTATCAACACATTTCTGTATAATTTTCAGAGAAATTTTAAAAATCTTTGGTTACTTTCAGAAACTGATGTATTGATGCGTGAACCTTTGCTACAAATTCTACACCATCTATAAAGAACTTCAGCATAAAAATGCCACAAAAAATAAGGAAAGCTATTTGCATTATTTCTTATTTAGAACAAACCAAAGGAAAAAAAAACAGGATGGTCTTGATTCTCTTCACACTTTCAATATTTAATAGAGGCTTAAGGTTGAATCTATTACCAAAAAGAAACTAGAATCTGCTTTGAGAACTCATCCTACTGAACAACTTGATCACATGGCAAAAACTAACGCTTTAATATAATTATAAACTACTAATAATATCTGCCCTGAGTTTCTCACAATTTTTGGAATGTCGTGCAAAATCTCTAAAACAGTGGTGTCATGATTCAGTCCTAATGGCCGCCATCTGCCATGTTGAAATTGCATTTCAAAAAAGAAAAGAGCAAGAGCAGATTATAAAGCTAAGCTGAGCTTGAAGGACAAAGTAACAGCTTCTAGAAATGACGTGGAGTAGAAAGTACAATATTTGACTTTGAAATGTAGTAAAAAAAAAAATTTACTCAAGATATTCAAAACAGTACTTAAGTATGTTAATCAAGAAAATGTATTTTGCTACTTTCCACCACTGGTTAAAAGTTAAATTATTTGTTAAAAAGGCCATTCATGTACTGACTAACTCATAACATCTGATATTTAAAGTCATGTAATACAGATAAAAAAAAAATGTAGTTGTGACTAAATTACAATTAAAAGACTAGATCAAAAATAATTAAACAAAAGTCTTCCGAAGGAAAAAACTAAAACTAGTAATTTGTAAATAAAATTCACTCCTTATTGTATATTAGCTTGACTTGGTAGGATCAAGTAAGCTTG